CCTCGTACATCGTTTAGTAACAACCAACGAATTTGTAAAATATTTGGTCAACAACTAAAAAAATGACATGTAGAATGGAAGGAAGTATCAAGAGAAAAAGAAAGCAGCCACACAATTAAAAATTTGTAGATATTATAGATTACACTGGAAGAAAAGAATGCTCATTAACCGTGTATACGCATTCTGATTCATTCAGTATATATACACATCAACGAGCGTCAGGTAGTTTTCATCTACTTCTGATATATTATTTTGTAATACTTAATCTTAACCTGAAGAAAAGTAAAAATAGTATTACAAAATAATATTTCAGAAGTAGATGAAAACTACCTGACGCTCGTTGATGTGTATACATAATGAATGAATCAGAATGCGTATACACGGTTAATGAGCATTCTTTTCTTCCAGTGTAATCTATAATATCTACAAATTTTTAATTGTGTGGCTGCTTTCTTTTTTATAGACATAGAACTAGAAAAAAAGGGTATATCTAAGTTTCACAAAAGATTCGCATTAGATGCACTGATTTTTGGCTATAACTGACACACGTCCGAAAGTTCGTAATAATTTTTGACGACTCTACTCGTGGTTCAAATTTTTTTCCTACCCGTGATGTAGTTTTGAACGAGTTAGAAAAAGTACGAGAGGGAGTTACGAAAAGTTAGTAAATTTGACTTACCTGGTTGATTCCGGTGAGAGCGCCCATCATCACTTCGACCTGCGCTACCCCGACCACATCCTCCTCGACCATATCCACCTCTATCACAACCACCTCCAAGTCTTTTCAAACGTTGACGGTCTTTTTTCGCCCAAACAGTTTTGTTCACATCTGACACCATCGATGATGGTGTGGACATTGACGATGCTGATGATGTTGATGACGTCGATGACAATGATGTTGTCTGATGGTCGATTGTGGGTGAAGATGTTTCTTGTTGTTCTTCTTCACCAGTTGCCATTTTTTTCTAAAATATTTCATATTGAATTAGTGCAGGATAGAAGAAAAGTATAAAGAGAAGACACTATATTATTTATTTGAAACGAAATGTGTTAGTACAGCTCTAGCAGTTAAAAAGAATGATATTGGTTCTCGTTCATTTTGTTCATATTCTCATTGTTTTTCTCTATCTATGACACATTTTTGCGTTAGAAGCAAAAGAAAATCGATGAAATCGTTTCGCAAAAATCGGTCGTAGGTAGAGGAAAACAATAAGAATAAAATAAGTGAGAATTCTCGTTCGTTTTAACTGCTAGAGCTGTACACATTCACAAATACATGGACTTTACTTAAAAAGTCTATGTATTTGTATGAACGTGTTCTATTTAGGAATAGAAAAAGCACGACGTGTTCTAATTCAGAACAGGACAAAATCAGACACGAATATATGTGCAATAATTCCGCAATTGGTACACGAAAAAGTGATATTTTTCTGGTAAAAGTTATATCATTCGATTCGGCAGACTCTTCTGAGTATTTCTATATAAAATTTTGAAGGTTTCATTGAACTTTGTTATCAAAAAGAACTTTTTCCTTCAACTTGCCGGATTAAACACTAATTTCGTAGTAAAGGGAATTTTTCTTTTGGATAAAATGATAAAATTTGTTCTCCATTCCTTGCTTTATATCTGTGTCGCTATAGTATGCATAGAAAGAAGAAAACATCAAAGTTTTATCTAGCTGAACTAGCGCGTGGATTATATAGAAATGAATGTTTCGTTTTTTGAAAATCAAAAATACACTTTTTCTGAAAAATACATCAGTATATAGTACAGTTTGTGTATTTCAAACTCATATAAGAAGTGAAAATGGATCCCTGTAGTTAATTTAATTCTAATTCTCGAAGTTGACAGAATATATGATGAGTACTGCTTCTTTTGGACATGTAATAAATGAATATCTCAATTAAAATAGAAAGTTAGTTCTTTTCTATAAACAGAAATAAAGTTGTATGCAGATGTTACAGTGGAATTTAAAATTCCACTAGTGGAAATTAAAATTTCAATCTTCACTAGTGGAGTTTAAAATTTCAATTTCCACTGAGAAGAATCCAGTGCAAATTGAAATTTGAAGTTCAACTAGTGGAGAATAAAATTTTAATCTCCACTATAGTGGGATTTTAAATTCCACTAGTCTAAAATGACTAACACTCATATTTCAATCTCCCCTATAGTGGAAATCAAAATAGTAAAAGAAAGGAAAGGAAAGAAATACTTATAGATTTACGTAGTATAGAAGTTCACACGGTTAGTTATAAGTCATAATGGAGATGGCATGTATGTGTATGCATACATGTCACGACGGGCGTGTTACAGAGAGATGTTTCAGCCAGTTACATCCCACCGTTACATGAGTTTTATGCAGGCAACATGAAACTTCTAGTATTTATAGTTTATTTCACGAGCCGAAAATTTTTAACCCGGCCCGACCCGATGATGAACGTTTCCGGACCAAGCTTGGCTCAGCCCGGTCCAACTAAATGTAGAATTTATCTGGCTCGGCCTGACCACTTGCATCTTTTTCTTCTTGCATCCTTAATGCTTGTGCGGGCTAAGCGGTGTAAATGTATTTCTCAGGCTAATATTTATATTTTTATGATTTCTCGGTACTGAGTATACACATGAATTACAAATCCACGCATGCTTAAAAACTGTGAGTTCGGCCGGGCCGACCCTACCAAAATATTTTGCGGCCTAAGCCCGGCCCTACCCGACTACTCTGTAAAATTTTCTGGCCCGAGCTGTGCTGATCTTTGGCTTATTCACGTGCCGTGTTGTGCATTTTTCCATTGAAAAAGGCTTTTTAAGTTAAGTCGTTTTTCATCAAAATAAGGTCGTATACAAAGTTAAAATATGTGTGAATACATATTCGAGATACTGAACTTTGAAGAAAAACGATGTTTTCGAATTTTTCTAACACAGTCATTTTTTCAGAAATCTATTAAGCCGTGAAGGAAGCATCAGTTTTGAGGCATCCTAAGGGTCTAACATTTAACAACGAAATTTCGGATGAAAATTTGTTCATTCGAGTTTTCTGCAAATACTTTGCCACATGTTAAAAAACCAGAAAAATGATCACAACTCAGAAAGAGTAACACTTGGAGACGGCCCTTTTTCGGGTTTCTCATATTTCATCCGGGCCTGCTTGTGATAATATCAGCTTGAAACCCGCCTGACACTTGAAAAGACTTCTTGGTCAGTGATTTTGTGAAAAAACTATTTTGAGAAAAACGCAAAATAAGTTTGCCGGACATATCTGTTCCGTTTCTATGCTATTTGAAGTAGAACATAACTCTATTAAATCTAATTTAGTCGAGCTCTATCTGTTGGCGTGTATGCATAAAGAGTTAGAACGTAGTCAAGCATGAAGATTTTTTAAAAATGAGGAACAATGCTACAAAGAAGACAGTATTGGCTAAAACTGAATTCTTCGTGCAAAAAACAGCTTTTGGGGCTATTACATCTACCCGATAGTGCTAAAACTATGGAAGGAAAACCGAATTCAAGGACTTCTGCAAATCATTTGTCACACGGTTTTCTTCACAAAATATTGCAGTCTTTTATTCTTCTCTGCTAAATAATGGATACATCGTATAAGCTTCCTTGAACAGACAACTTCGCTTGAGCTTGCCATTCAAAAGAAAATATAAAACACCGCTATGTCTTAAAAAACTTTAGTATTTTGAACAAAAATAAAGCACTATTTTCTTGAAGCGTTGCGAACATACCAGTGGATTGAATGAATGGCCTAGTTCCAATGAGAGTTTCGCGCTTTTACTATCACCTCACTGCAATACAGTTTCTCGGCAAATCATTAAATATTTTTATACTTCTCAACAGAGGAAAGTGAGCTGAATTTTACGATGAGAAAACCAACTAATCGTCTCTAAAACTGAGTGAGTAACTACTGACATACTTGATGGAAAACAAATTCGGTTTATGTCTCTGAAAAACTAAATTATCTACCATAGTCGAGAGTCCCAGCAGAAGTCCCGATAGAATCCTGTGGGACTCCTCAGGAGATTTTTTCCTCAAAAAATCCATAGGAAGTCCTACGGGAGTCCACAAAAAGTCCCGCGAGAGTCCCATACACAAAAAATTTTACTTTTCGTTGGGACTTCCGCTTGAGTCACTCCATAACCCTAGCAGACTTTATCCGCCCCTCTCCTTTTGCTATCGCATATATACAACATTGTTCTTATGACAAAACTTAGAATTTTTTTCTTCCCCGAAGTTCACATGTCGGCTGATCAGAGAGAAGTGCAAGCATTTAAGCAAATACACGAAAATTCTGTACGCCATGTAGTCGATAGTTTTCACATTTTATCTGATAGGTTTATTGGTTAGTCTGAACGTAGCGATCACCAAATTTTCAATAGAACTCGATGAGCTGAAGTTCCTATGACTGTAATTTCTTAACAAGACTTCCACCCTGATAATGTTACTTCTCTAAAAAGTTTCTTCTTTCGTCGTTGTGTTCTTGACCTTTTGATAAGTCGCTTGTTAAGCCATTATGAATAAGCATAAATCATGATTTCCTAATAGACAAACTACCATAACTAGTGCCCGTTTGGATTTTTAGTTCGAGGTAATTTAGCGAAACATTCTGGCGAGAGACTTATCGTTGCATTTCCCTCATTTTTAACTGATTCATACCACATTTCTGTAACAAGTATAAAGAAAAAATTATCTTTTCATATAGCTCCTGAATTTACATTCTATATATGTTATCATTCTGCTGTATGCAGCACATACCTTATTTTCTGATGTAGTGTACGATCTGCAGACCATTAGAAGTATAAAGTAGAATTACATAAAAGAATAAACACAGTTTCTCTGAACAAAGAGACGTTTTTCAGTAGGAGAAAGATAAAGAGATAAAATTGCTTCGTATTCGTCTCACCAAGCTCTAACTGATCTTGAAGTGAACGAGGTAGTTTGGTTGCATCATATTCCCGATGAGAAAACCGATAAAACATGGTGAAATCAAGGTTCCAGCTATATCAGTAAACATTCTTCAAAGAGTGTTTCGGTCTAGAAACTTGTGCTTTTTGGTGTTCGTAGACTTGGAAACTTAATACATTCAATAAGAAATACATCCTTTGCCTGAAAAATAAACGTGCTTCCTAAATCTTGTCTTGAGGAAGCTCCAAGATAAATTTCAGAATACCTTTATTAAGTATTTATTTGTGATCATGACAAAGCTTAATTACGAACGGATTTTATGTCATCTCATCATAAAGATGAACTCATAAAGCACAATAATCATCCTTACACAAAATATCTTCTGGTATGGACATCTCTTTTAGACTTCTATTGATTGTGATTTAGTGATGGTGGACCAAAAAACGAACCTTCAATGTTTTTGCGTCTCAATGCGATGTGCTTTTGACAGTAACTTTCAACTATTACGAGTACTGCCTAGGTAGAATTCATCATACAAGATCTGTCATTGTCTTATGAAACCTTGTGACAAGGTTTTACTGCATGATCTTCTAAGATTTCACTACAAACAAAGTGTATGACTATAAGAAACGCGGTTAGACATGTTCTTACGGACGCCAGAGCCCTTCCTATGCTCGGAAATATGATCAAAAGTAAACGATATTTTTTTAAAGGTAGCCTAGAAGGAATCTGTACGACAGAATCAAAGACATAATCTTGTAATATCTGCTGAATTATTATGTGATCTTATGAGATCTGTCAAGATCTTGTCACTTCTTGCACGATCATACAAGATGCCTATCACAAGATCTTGCAAGGTCTTACGACACCTGGTTAAAAGAAAAAATTTAAGAAATCTTCTGTGGAAGCAAGGAGACTGCTCCGTATGAGATCTTGTAGAATTTCCATGATCATGTAGAATCTTATTATATGATCTTGTAAAATTATACAACATCATTTGACAGGATTTCTTAACCTGGGCTTATAACAACAATTGAAGCTCACCAAATTTGTTTTTCGAATTTTGCAAAAAATAGTCAGTAGCTATTCAGTAGCTGGTAAACTCGATTAGAATTGTTCATTTTAGAAAAACTAGTTAAGTTACAAATATATAGCAGCAACTGTGTTGCTAAAGAGAAAGAAAAATATGCTCGACTGTTGAACTGTACCCTCTAAAGCCATTTAATTGATATTTATTGTTTATTCTTTCCCTATACTTCATCTCGAACATTCTTCTCTCTTTATCGACGGATCGAAATGTATTATATGCGTATATTTTCTTCTGTTCTTCTATTTTCTTCTCTTTTTTCTTGCACGCACATACATTAGTTCTGTTAGAGCCTTAGCTGTAGTGTTTTATCTTCTTCTTTGTAATGTTGCATGCAGAAATCTATATGAGGGATATAGGGGGCATCTTGTCTTATGTGTGATAAATAAGATACGCTGTACGCTAAGGCTCTCGTTTATCCTTCAAATTGTTATTAGATGAATACATATGTATACGTGTATATATGAGTGATTCTGATAAAAATAATACCGTTCGAATGATGTAAATGGTCCCAAGCGTTTCTAAATGTTATTTTTTCTGTTATTTTATGTGGAGCAATATATTCTTTTCTCTCTTTCTTATAGAAGCTTCTTCGCTTTACTCAGTTACATCATTACCTTTCTTATCGACTGTTTGTTTTTTCACAAATTTGTTCAGAATTTGTGATGCCGAAAAGATTTTTTTGTTTTGTCTCGTAACCATGATCTTGGATAGTTCTCGTAAGTTATTCAGTTTGCCGTCTTTATATGTCAAAAGTTGACTAAATATATAGAATACATAACAGCGAAATCCGATGTTTCTATCAGTTTCCATTACCAAGTAATTCCCACTTTACTGAAGCTATGTGCGGTTTGACTGATAATTTATCCCGTAACCACCTACTACGCTACGCTTCAATCGAGCTTGATAGAAAGTTTCTTTTTTTACCATAAGCGCTATCTACTCACACGATGATCCTGTAAAAATAGCAAAGACTAAGATTGCTTTATAAGGGAGAAAATTAGAAAATACGAAGAAATATTCGTAACCGTTTCTTTCTGTTTCTTCTGTAACTTTAACATAACATGCGCGAATCAAGTCAAATTTCTAGTGTAGAGGCTTAAAAATATGTTAAATTTAATGAAGCACATAGCTAGCGTTTAGATGGACCAAAAAATAGTTTCTTAGAGAACGGGATTCGCTACAAAACCTGCTTATTGTCTTTCACTGTTATCGAAAAAATCTAGTGCGCACGATTATTTTTGAATAAGTCGAGAATAAAAACAGCTAGAGAGTTCGAGTCTTCACCATGGGAAGGGGAAGGCTTGCGATCATCTTTTCTTAACAGAAAATATTTCAAAAACCTTTTTCGAAAGTGGGCTTTTTAAGAGATCTTTGAAAAATCACGTCATAGCTCAAGAACGTAAAGTACTATCTATTCCAAAATATAGTGTGGGTGATTGGGCATAAATAACTCGAGAATGGAATGAGCCGTCAAGCTCGGATTTACGCCTTTGTGTAGTCAAGACTGGGGCATGTAATAATATGTTGAAACCAAAATTTTTGCTTGGATCTCTGGGAATTCTAGGTAGGTCTCCGGAAAATCAGCTTATAGCTCCAAAGCTTTACATAAACATCCATCAGTTTTTTTCATATATGGATAGTCCAAGATGTTCTCTACAAAATCAGATCCAAGCAACATCTGGAAAATCCATGGTTTGGGAGCTACGGGCATTTTCCTTGAAGCCTCAGGAGTCCTCTGCCGTTAGATTTGAGAGTGGCAAAACGAATAAAAACATAGGTTACCGACTATGTTAAATCTCACGACAACATTTTTTTTTCAAAACAGTTTCAAAAACCTAGTAAAAACGTACATTAGGTGAAATATCCCATTTTTCCTATTTTGACTAAAACTTAAAAATTCTTAATACAGTCAAGATCAATCCAGGTCATGTCAGAATATCAAGATGTACTCTATTTTACCTGCTCAATACTATACAGTTCAATAAAAGCTTTAAAGATCGACAGAAAATATCCTGGTTTTTGAAAGATTTTTCCAGAAATCTTCTGAAGTACAAGAATGTTTTTTACTATTCTCAGGTAAAAGATCTTTTGGCAAATGACTTGACAAGAAGATAAAATAATTCAAGTACTTGATATTCTTGACAAGTACTTGGTTTACTTGGAAAAAAGCGCAAGAACGTTGGACTAAACTTGCGAGGGTACTTCACCAATATACTTGCATGCAAGTATATTCACTAGGGCGACTTGTTCTTGACCGAGTTATCAATTTTAATTTTACTCAAAAATAGGCAAAAATGAAATATTTTTCCTATTGTACATTTTCACTAGGTTTCTGGAATTGTTTTGAAAAACAAATGTTACCGCGAAACTCAGCATAGTTGATTACCCCACAATGCATCCGTCATTAAGGCTACCCGAACCATGAATGAAAGCAATACAATCCTATTGGAAAATTTCTACAGACGGTTTAGTTTCCCAAAGACCTCCTAGAAAACCTGTTTCAGAAAACTCTTCTGAAAACAGTTTTGGTTAAGGAAACATGCCGTCAAGTCTGCTCTTTTGAATGGCGAAAACCGAAGTTCTCTAACTCTTTTCTGTCAAAAGGTATTCAAAAAGCAACCAAGTGCACGGTGTTTTGGCGCCGATAATAGAAAAATGCTTTCCAAATCTGGAAAACAAAATAGTGGTAGTTTGCTAACCCGTGTTTTGTGATACTGTTAGGTACACACTATCGATATATGATAAGAAAAAACGTAGATCTTTATCTTTTGCTTAGGTCAAGTTTTTGCACAAAACCGGTACTATTTTTATCAGAATCACTCATATATATGTATTCATCCAAAATAGCAACACACGCATCCATACATGTGTATATTCTACACGATGCCCCACAGTTTTTCTTCTCTTTTCTCCCTTTCATCGGCTCACTATCAGGGCTTCAGCAAAACAGTACGACTAATGAACGACACTGAGCAATGAATTCGCCTTTCTTTCTGTCGGAACATATGAACTGAACGACACATCAATGTTGGTGCTGTATCTTATTACGCGTACATGTTGTCGATGAACAAGAGTGTATGTGTGTGTTAGTTAGTGTGTATAACAAACATTTTGACTAGAAGGCTAGGCAGCATGAATTCATGTATGATCGTAGATGTAACGTTCGGTTCGTTTGATATTTGGTAAGTTATCTGAAGATCAGTCAATGACAAATTTTTTGTGCAGAAAACAAAATATATTAGTGCCGTTATAACTGTAACTATCGCTTTTATAGCGTTTCCAAGTACCTTCTTAAACAATATTGTTATTTGATTGCGATCTGTACCATGATAAGTGTTTCTTGGAAAGCGTCTCTGATCGACATTTGCAAGTTTTTAACTCACGAATGCATTACTGTTTTGACCAATCTTATTTATCCGTCTGTTAAACCGTTGTTGTCTTTCATTTTTTCTTCTTTTTCTTTTCGTTCTTCATTCTCAATTATTTACATTACACGTCATACAGGGTATTTTACGTAATTGAGAAGGCAGGCAACGTGCGTTTTCTTGCGTACATATTGGAAAAAGAAAAGCAATCCAGCGATAGAGTTTTTGAATGATAGAGGACTCTCACTTCAGTTTTATCAGAATAAGGATAAAATAATTCGTTCTTAACAGTAACAAGAACAAATGAGTTGTCAAAGTAACACTTTCTCATGTGACCGACTACCAAAAGAAAACAGTATACTTCTATTGGAAAAGAAACGTGCTCTTATGCACTCATTTTTGCTCTACCCATTATGTGTTTGTTGTTGCCATAATTCTTCTAGATACTCTATACACCTTCTTATTGTTGTTTGTTAGTGTGAACTTTTATCTACACAAAAATGACGTTGTTTTGTGTTGAAACGGGTGACACTGTTTGTCAAACAGTACCTTGTTTACCGTCTCTAATCAAATGCAATAGAATAACAGTCAAAGATGATAATAACAATAATATCCAACGACCACCGAAAGAAGATGACGATGTGAGAAGTCTGATGTCTGCTCTTGGTCTGAAATTAAAGCAGCAACAGAAACCAGTCGTAACCTCGTCAGTACCAGTCATTCCAGTCACATTACCTATCACTTCATTCAAATGTCGAATTCGAAAAAAAATCTCAGACAGAAAGAATGAAGCCATGCCTCTATGCCTGTTGAGTTTGAAAAAATATGACGTTCGAGAACCAATTTATTATGTTGTGACGGACTTGAAAAAGATACCCATTGTGAAACATTATGAGAAATATTGCGTTGTCGATAGTTTAGAAATATCCAATACACAAGCAAAAAGATCCGTAGAGAAGAATTCAAGAAAACTTGTTTATTCTTCACAACGTCCAGATGTTCTAAGACCTAAATATAAAAAAGGTAATGGATAAATGCTTTTACAATAACGCGGGCTTTTACGATTGTTCATACCATTTGACATTATAAAGCATGTAACTGATTCATCAGGTACAGTGTCGATTGTTTTAATGTTTTACAGGAACATAAGCACTGTACCGATCAGAGATCGGCCGAAAATTTTTAGCCCGACCCGATGATGAAAGTTTCCGGACCAAGCCCGGCTCGGCCAGACCAAACGTAGAATTTATCTGATCCGGCTCGACCGATCCTAAAACTTTTCTGGCTCAGCTCGGCTCAGTCCGACCGCTTTTTAAAATTTTCTGGTCTCATGGGGAACTTTTTTCTTGCGTCGGTAATGCTTCTGCTGACTAAGTGGTGTAAATGTATTTCTCAAGCTATATTTATATCGTTATGATTTCTTGGTTTTGATTTTTCAACCTTTAAAGACATTAGCTAGATGAAATCCTTAAGATGTCGCGGAGTTCGGCCCGACCCGACCAAAATACTTTGCGGCCTACGCCCGGCCCGACCCGCTCACTATAAAATTTTACGGCCCGGTCCGTGCTGAAACCCTCTTGAAATCGAAAAATCTTTTTTTGTTTAGATGCTGGATTGAATAAACGTCTAGAAAATTGTTCCGTTTCAGAAAACATCAGATTAAGAGGATGTGAAGTTGTTTTACAAAGATTAAAACGAAGTTATGTGGAATATTTAATAGAAACTCAACAGGTAAAGTCAACACTTAGAAAAATTCAGATTAAAATACTAACACCATACCTGAATAATATTCATTCCTTCTAGTATTTTTGAAAATTGTCGTTGCAATAGATAATAAAGAACTCCTCGTTCAGTTTTGAGATGTCAACAGGAGGCTGAAGCGTAGTTAGTCTTGCGTGGATAATTAGACAGAAATACTCAAAAAATACAACAGGCATTTGTCTTTCTTGTTGCTTGATACTTTTGGCTAAAGTCGTAGCGCAGTATTTAAATTTAAAATGCATTTTTCACTTTAATTACACGTGGTAAATAAGTTTAAAAAGGTACTTCTTTTCAAGATTCATAATAAAACTTTTGAGTACAATTACTTTTTGTTGAAATGGATCCTTATCAATGATTGTATATTAAATCCCAAACGTCAAATTTTATTTTATTTAATAATTGAATAATTTATTTCTGTTCAGACAAAAGAGCAACCAAAATTTGATCGATTCATTTTTAATTATATACCAGCTTGTGTAATTTCGATCAGAGATTAATTGAAAAATAGTTGTTCTGTCTACTCCATAGTTCTTTTCATGTTTAGGTCGAATATAAACAAATATCATCTTCACCTGTGATAAAATCGAAAACAGCAATAACTACCACAACAGTGAAAAAACCTCGATCTAGAACTAAGAAATGGCTTCCCAGACGATCACCTTCGCCTTTGAATGAAAATAAACCACAATCATCACTACCGACAACTAAACGAAAAATGCTCATACCCAAATCGCCATGTGATTTAACCGAATTGACCAGTTCCAACATAAGAAAACGTCGAAAAACGATTAGTATCGACAAGAGTGATTATCTTACTGAGGATGTGGCTAAAGCGCCGTTGTTACAAACACCACGTCCTGTAGAATTTGATAGTATCTGCTTAAAATGTTTGCAACAACCTGCAATGAAAGGGGGACTATTGAATATTTTCATTACTTATTATCAAGAATTAAAAGAACAGCAAGAACAAATGGTGGTTATTAGCGACGATGACGATGAGGATATAATATGTCTCGACTAAGAATTTTCTCGGTATTGAGTACACTTCGTGAGATAATAACATCACAATATGCAGAAGAGAAGATGTTAGTGCAATTTTCACGCCCCTTTAAATCCCTCGAAGTTTATGAAAAACTGCAAGATCCCGCTAAAAATGATAAGAAAAATTCGTCATGGTACTTCAACAAAGCCACCATTTTTCCTGAGCCGAATGATACGTATTCTAAAATCTAAAGACGCTCAAGTTTTATTACAAAACAAAAGTATTAAGCTGTCAGTAATTCAAAGGTAGTACACTACTTTCTTTTGGTTGAGCTGAGTAACAATATGTGTGTTTTAGCTTTTGAAATTGATTCTATAGAACGGAAATTAAATAAAACATCTAAATTGAAGACGGGAAAATAAAGCTGTAGAAAACGGCCAAAATATACATGGCTTGACTTAATTTTTTGTACTGATCTCAAATTTGGCATCCATCTTTTTTACCTGCCTGTTGTTTCTAATGATTAAATTTGACAGAGCTTTTTTTATACTTTTGCGAAGGAAAAGAACAAATTTTCATAGCTTTTTGCCCTCTCAAACGTGATTAAAATATTGGTGTCGGATATAAGTGCAAGTGAAAATGTCAAGGTTATTTATTATGTAACTGTAAATACAAACTCTAGTTAGTAAATACAATCAGAAAAATTATAGTTTGGGAAAAAGAAACGAATTTAATAAAGACAATGAAATATGAAAATACACTTATATGTACTAATCAATGTTTTTGGGCCAGCAAAACGACTGTTTTCTGTGCATTGTTGTACTTGTAAACAAGAAAACCCAAAAAAAGCACAGGTTCCTTGAATGACTAAAATTCAAAGAAACATTTAGCATTCTCATACGTATATTCCGGCGTTAGTGTTATTACTTAGGATTATCCAAAGGTAGTGGCGGATGTACTTTATTTCCGTATAGAAAGCTTGAGAAAACTTCAGTCTGTTTTCAAAAGATGCACAATTTAATTCCCTACAAAATTGATGTTGACTATATTTTGTAGTATTGAAATTCGAAATCCTAGAGGTCAAACACTTCGATGGAATCCAGTTCAACCACTTCCCACTGAATTTTGGAATTGTTCGTGTGTAGAATTCCCACAAATATCGGACTCATAAAATACGACTCACCAAAAGATAGTCCTTAAAATTGTTTACTGATTGCATATACTTAGATATTTGCATTGTTAGTTTCTACTCGTTGAATGACATTTTTTCTAAAAGTCATATTTCGAAAAATAGCGCAATTTTCATCTTCCAGCTGCCGTCTTCAGAAAAAACATTATGAGAAAGCCATTTATAGCTCAGAAAAGATCATTAATATAAAGTTTTATACGAAAACGATTTATCTTTCTTCTTACCAAAAAAACAGTGAACAAATACTTTTATAGGGTTAGGAAATAGTTAATTGTTGCAAAGGAGCGATTTTTATGCTCAAAATTAAATAAAAGAATTTTTGCTACGGCAATAGATACCGGGTCGAGAAGATATTATATGTCTTTGAAGAAGCTGTTGATGCACTATCGTAAAATGAATACCTGATCTTCTCAGTATTTGTCGTTAGTACACAAAAAAATACGCAAAACATTCTCAGAATCAATGGGAAGTGGTTGAACTTGATTCCATCGAAGTATTTGACCTCTAGACATTTAGAATTTCATCACTGCAAAATATAGTCAACATCAATTTTGTAGAGAATTAAATTGTACATCTTTTGAAAACAGATTGAAGTTTTCTCAAGCTTTCTATACGGAAATAAAGTACATCCACCACTACCTTTGGATTACTTACTATTCATCCTAGGTAATGTCGTTCTTAGCAGAGACTCAGGATGATGTTACATACTACCAGAAGATATTCTCTTGGTCACATTCTACTGGAATTGCCTGTGTGAAATTTCATCAATAAATCATTCATCTAAATCACACACTAAAAAATGATGTGTCGCATGTGTCGCAAATTGCGACATATTCTGCCACACAACCAACTGCGACACATTTTTTCCATTGAGGCTGCGACACATTCCGCTGGATATTTCTACCATAAAGAAAACAGTAGAAATTAAGTATTTTCGATCTCTTATTCGATTTTAACAATATTTTTAGTTCATTTTGGGATGCTCTACGTAATGTCAACAAGCTCAATCCGCCGGTAATATTCACAGGCCTTCAAAATATTTAGTTTCCGAGATCTGGGAGTAATGGCGTAGTCAAGGCCTCTGATTGATTGTTTTTCATTAGAGAAAAAATGTTTAACGTAGAAAATAGTTAAAAAAGACCAAGAGAGGGATCTTTATCCACTAAAAACACCAATTCGAAATTGAAAACACTTAGAAAGTTCGAAAATTTTCTTATCTTTTACGTATTAGCGCCACCTATATCACATCAGAATTGAAAAGAAGCCGAGAAAAATACTAATGAAGTTACACTGCCAGATATCGGGAGTGATTACTCGATAATTCTCTTTGCCACAGAAATGCAAGCAAAAATGGCCAAAACAAATAATACCATCGGTTCCAAAATACAAGGTCCCTGATTGCTTTTTGAATAACTCCTCACAGGAGATAGATAGAGATCTGCGGCTTTCACCATTCGAAAGAGGACACTTAAAGCTATCTTTTCACAAGCGAAAACAAGTTTCGAAAAAACTTCACAACCTGGTTTTTCAGGAGATCTTTGAAAAACCAAGTCAGAGCTTCCGAAAGTCTTATAGAAATCCGATCGTTTTTTTACATGGATTTGTAGCCTAAAGCGTCCTCTTCAAAATGTAGAGTCAAGCGAGCTCGTGAAAATGCATCGTTTGGCAGGGGGAGCAGATTTTCTGCAGGTACCCAAAAGAACGCTTTTTTCGGTCAAAATAGCATGAAAAAAATTCTATCTAGGTATTTGATGATGCTGATCATGATGGCAATGTCTATTCCCTCCTCCCAAATTGTAAACAGGCACTACAAGCGATGGTAGATATTTATTTTCATGCAAAATCAAAAATTTCAATGTTTCCTCCTCTTCTCTCTCCTATTTTCTTCTTACAAGTGAATGATATAGAAAACTTTAGTCACTATCTGCAAAAACCATCCGTATTAGAGATGTACAAAAGCTAGAGACGATTAGGAGGACGCGAAATTGGTTGAGGTAAAGAGGAGCAATGATTATCATGATGAAACATGGTGCAACAAGAATGAGGAGAAAACAAATGTGTGGCTTGATGAGAATGGACATGGACGTTTAAGGAACAGTGAAGGAAAAGGACAGAAGTTGGCTATCAGTGGCTGGTTAGTCTCGATAGATTTCATTTACGCTCGTTGGACATATTCAAATGTGATGATGTCCATAGTATGGACAGCGCCCACTTTTCTTCATGGATGGAAACCGCTGCCAGTACATTGAGACGTGAACATGATCCAAATGCAAAGATAGCTATGTGCATAGACAATGCGACGTGGCACAACAAATTGACACCCGAAAGTGGAGCTCCTAAACGAGCTTGGAAGAAACAATTAATTGTGGACTGGCTTATTAACCCTTTCAGAACGGGGAAGTTTTTTTTGAAAAAAGGTACAAAAATTAGTTTTTAAGAATCAATTGATTCTAGTTTTCAGACCAGTTTATTAATATGACTTTAGAGTGTAATAGTCGCGAAAACAATTCGGGATGCACAAGCCTACATTGCAGTCTGAACAATCGTATCGGGTACGAGATTGTTTTTTTGGTCGCTTGACAGTTGAGCTGCATACAACAAACCTTCGAATTTACTAGAAGATACCACAAGAAGAGGAAAGAGTAAAAACTGAAAAATATGTATGTTCTATAGAAAAAAGCAAGAAAACATATGCTTCGACACGTTACAACAGAACGAAAGACTGTGATATATACGGTGTACCACCCGTCCCGAAAGGGTTAATGATGTGAAACAGCTAACGTTATTTTATGACCATATTTTTGATTTTGCATGAAAATAAATATCTACCATCACTTGTAGTGCCTGTTTACAGTTTGGGAGGAGGGAATAGACATTGCCATCATGGTCAGCATCATCAAATACCTAGATAGAATTTTTTCATGCTGTTTTGACTAAAAAAAGCGTTCTTTTGGGTACCTGCAGAAAATCTGCTCCCCCTGCCAAACGATGCATTTTCACGAGCTCGCTTGACCCCCATTTCGAAGAGGACACTTTAGGCTACAAATCCATGTAAAAAACGATCGGGTTTCTATAAGACTTTCGGGAGCTCTAACTTGGTTTTCCAAAGACCTCCTAAAAAACCAGGTTGTGAAGTTTTTTCGAAACTCGTTTTCGCCTGTGGAAAGATGGCTTTAAGTGTCCTCTTTCGAATGATGAAAACCGCAGATCTCTATCTATCTCCTGTGAGGAGTTATTCAAAAAGCAATCAGGGATCTTGTATTTTGGAACCGATAGTAGTAACAAAACAAAAGAAATCTGATTGTTCATAAAACTGCTCACATTTGACATGTTTCGTGCTTCATTCAATGACAATTTTGCCCGTTTTAAACCTGGAGGCGTTTGTGAAGACATAAAAGTGTTTTATCGTTTAGTAGTCGCAGGAGGAAAATTGGTAGATAAATTCGTTTGAAGTTCTCGTTCGACAGAATTGACTGAGAAATCATGCTCAAAATCTTCTGCCTCAACGTCCCTTTCGTCAAGAGGAAAATTCTAAAATTAAAGATATATCCTTACAGAATTTCCGTTATATGTATTCTCGGACCTGCTTGTCGGCAACACTCAGGCAACAGCCAAAAATGAAAATGACTTTTCGCCGTAGTATTGTGTTTGCATTCTCGGACCTGCTTGTCGGCAACACTCAGGCAACAGCCAAAAATGAAAATGACTTTTCGCCGTAGTATTGTGTTTGCATTCTCGGACCTGCTTGCCGGAAAAGCCATTTTCATTTTTTAGCCTATTGCTGGAGTCGGGTCCGGAAATAAAGTCCGAGAATGGAAATATAATAATCAGCTAAAAGTCATTTTCATTT